ACCTAGGGGTTACAGTGGACAAAAAGCTGGATATGAGTCGACAGTGTGCCCTTGTTGCCAAGAAGGCTAACAGCATTTTGGGCTGTATAAGTAGGGGCATTGCCAGCAGATCGAGGGACGTGATCGTTCCCCTCTATTTGACATTGGTGTGGCATCATCTCGAGTACTGTGTCCAGTTTTGGGCCCCACACTACAAGAAGGATGTGGAAAAATTGGAAAGAGTCCAGCGGAGGGCAATAAAAATGATTAGGGGTCTGGAGCACATGACTTATGAGGAGAGGCTGAGGGAACTGGGATTGTTTAGTCTCCAGAAGAGAAGAATGAGGGGGGATTTGATAGCAGCCTTCAACTACCTGAAGGGGGTTCCAAAGAGGATGGAGCTCGGCTGTTCTCAGTGATGGCAGATGACAGAACAGGGAGTAATGGTCTCAAGTTGCAGTGGGGGAGGTCTAGGTTGGATATGAGGAAACACTTTTTCACTAGGAGGGTGGTGAAGCACTGGAATGGGTTCCCTAGGGAGGTGGTGGAATCTCCTTCCAAAGAGGTTTTTAAGGCCCGGCTTGACAAAGCCCTGGCTGGGATGATACAGTTGGGAATTGGTCCTGCTTTGAGCAGGGGGTTGGACTAGATACCTCCTGAGGTCCCTTCCAACCCTGATAGTCTATGATTCTATGATCTGGAGAAGAATCACCCAACAAGCCAAACGCACGCCCACGGAGGTGACCTTCCCCAGCTTAGCTCTCTACCTGGGACAGCACAAGCAGGGGACACAGAGATCAGGACTCCTGGGTTCTTCCATGCTCTGCCAACGACTCCATCTGTGCTCTTGGGCGAGTCACTTAACCTCTCCATGGGGACAAGGGCTGATCCAGCTTTGAGGGCTCTGGATGAAGGCTGCCAAAGCTACCGGGGGCAGCAGAACCGGGGCACCCAAAACTCCTCCGCCAGCCCCCGTCTGGGTGGGGGTCTCAGGCCATTTCTGCCGTACTGGGACAGCCAGCAACATGGAGCTCAGCAGAGCCGCTAGCCAGGGATCCAGCCCGGCCTGCATTACCTCAGTGGACCCACAATTAACAGTGGGCTTGGGGCTACGTGGTTCACTCTAGACAAGGACTGAGACCCAGGACACCTGCGTCAATTCCTGGGTCTGCCACAGACTTATTTACATTACAGCAGCATCTAGACGACCGAGATCAGGGCCCCCGGCCAGACGCACGGCAACCGAGATCGGGGCCCCGTCGGGCCGGGCGCCGGCCAGACGCACGGCGACCGAGATCGGGGCCCCGTCGGGCCAGGCGCTGCCCAGACACACGGCGACCACTATGTCTCTCTCTCTCTCTCTCTGTTTTGCCAGAGTGGGGCGCTGATGACCTGTTACAGCTGCTGCAGGAATGCAGATAGCAGAAGCACCAGTGTTTGCACGAGAGCTGAGTTTACACGGCCTGTCCTCTGGCATGCTGGCATCTGGCCCAGAGACGCACCCCACAGCTCCAGGCTGTGCTGCTCCGGGCTCCCGCAGGCCCCAGGAGCCCAGGCTCAGGCCCTGAGCAGGGAGATAAGAGGAGCTGTCCAGAGCACAGCGGTCCTGAAACACTGAGTTAGCACCACCAGCCGGAGCCGCCCACAAGTGCCCAAGCCAGGGCAGGGCGGCACCAGGCTCCCGGCTGAGCCCAAGCCGATGAGGGGTGTTTGATGGGCCAGAGGGGGTCTGGGGAGGGTGTGGGGAGGTGGAGGAATCTAGCCCTGCCCCCGCAGGGCACCCCATTGGGAAACACGCCGACTCCACTGGCATCACCCCACCAAACCGCTTCGAGGCGCCGGCCAAGCCGAGACACAGGTGCCCTGGCTGGGGGGGGGGGGGGCTCCCAAATGTCGGCGGACACAGGGGCCCCCCAACAGGTGCTGCAGGCAGCTCCAGGGAGGTTCAGACCCAGAGCCCAGCAAGGCACTTCTGGTTCAGCTCACTGCAGGCCAGCGGGCATGGGGCCCGTGCAGCCGTGAGCTGCCCCCGCCCCCTCCACAGGAACAACCCGGGAACACACCCAAGGGCCCGTGTGCAGGTCTGTGTGCACCGTGTGTGCGCACACATGCGTGTCCACGAGCCACTCCTGCTGCCCCGTCTCCCCCGCACACGCTCAGCGAGGGGGGCTGCCCCCCACCCGACAGCTGCAGGAGGGACCGTGAGCAAAACGGGCTTCCCACGACAGCGAGAGATTTCAGGACAGACGGACGGACGGACGGGGCGGACAGACAGCTATCAGAGCCCCACTTGCTCCCCCAGTTGGCGTCCGAGTGAGGAGCAGGACACTGCCTCCCGGGGCCCCACGCTCCAGCCCCGGCCGTCGGGTGCATTGACACAGATTCACGGCAGGCAGCCTCCAGCACCGGGGAGGGAACCCAGGCGTCCTGCGGGGAACCCAGGCGTCCTGCAGGCAGGCATGTGGATCGTTATTCCCTACGCAGCTGCCTCGCCGACTTGATCAGCGCTAAGGCAGCCCGCGCTGCAGGGTGCTGCCAACTGCCACCGACCTGCGCCCGCCGAGCCGGGGCGTCAAACCAGCCTGGGCTAAACATTGCGACCTCCAACCACCCCCACCCGAGCGCTTCCCCTCCATGCCGATCCCCCCCGCCCAGCAAGCTGCAGCCCCAGGAAGCCGCCTGCAACGTGTGACCACCCCCAGGCTGGGGCCAGACCCCCCAGCAGAGCCAAGGGAGTGGTGCCCACTCACACCGGCGCAGCCCCCGGCCCCCGACGGACCAGGCAGCTTGCACAAGAGACAAGGCAGCAATTTAGGGCTTGGGTGAGGGCCGGGGGGGCCCTGGCTGCTTGGGAGGGGCAAGGAAGCTGTTACAATCTCCCCCCCGCCGGCCGGCCCCAGGGCGCTTTGCTCTCCAGGCTGCGCTCTGGGGCAGGGAAGATTTCCCCCACGATCGCTGCCCCACCCCTTCCACGGGGCCGGCCCCCACACAGCCCAACTCCTTGGGGGGGACGGGTTTCCTTGGGGGGTGCACCCTCCTCCCCACCCTCCACACTCGTTAGCACTGTGCCTGGGGTTAACGAGGATCTGAGCAAGCCGGACCGGCTTCACACCAGCCAGTTCCCCTGCGCCGCTCCCGATCCACACAGAATCGGGGCCCTTTTCTCCTCTCCAGCAGCGGCGACAGGTCCCCCTGCAGCCCGTCCAGCCCCCTCACCTCCAGCTCCCCATCCCCGGCTCCCCCAGCTCCTCCAGCCTCAGATTCCCCAGCCCCCTGCAGTCCCCCACTCCCAGCCTCTCCAGCCGGGATCCCCCAGCCCCCTGCAGTCCGTCCGTCCCCCCCCTGCACGCTCCTCC